CCCCACCAGCCACAGCAGTGCTCACATCAGGACTGGGAGGGTTATTGGGATGATGTGCGGTCAAAAAATCAAGGAACTGAACTAATGGAAAGTGCAGATCCCATTTCTGTTTGACAGGATTTGAAATGTTTCCTTTTTTACCAGTTTATTTTTTATATCCTTCCTAAGACTTATTAAATTAGCTTAAAAACATAACTGCTAATCATCAAATACCCAGATTTCCAGGTGAAAAAATAGCCATAATTTTCAGAAAGCGAAACTAGAAAACTAGACATGATTTAGATATAGACCCATATAAAGCTGTTTGCCAGAAATGTTGTACAGAGCATGGCAAACAGTATCCACTGAATTATTTTAAAGCTGAAAACTTCTGCAGCTAAGTTTCATCTAAAAAAAAAAAAAAAAAAGAAGAAAAAATAAAATCCCACCAGGAGCTGGTCCCTGACCCACTGAGAAATGCCATGGCCAAAATCCCCATTGCTAAGAACCAGCCACCTTAGACCAGAACTGAAAACTCCTCCTGCATGGGTCTCACCTTGTTCTTGGCAAGAACGTTGGCTCCTGCTTTAACGAGCACTTTGGCAGACTGACTGAATCCATGCCAACAAGCTTCATGAAGAGCTGTGTTCCCATCCTGAAGAGCACACACATACACGAGGAGAAGGTTAGTGCACTGTGTCCACACACAGAGTAACATTACATTCAGAACGTAGCAGCTGCTCACTTAAAAAATAAACCATTTTCCTTTCCCACTAGCTAGTTTTCTACTTAATTTTTATCAGAGGCAGATACACACCAGACTAAAACATGAAGTAATTTCTACTGACGCATTATGTACTTTTTTTCTAACTACTTTTTCTATCTTAAACCTCTTTCTATCTTCTGCTTCTTCCCACATTTCCTAACAAGCAGAGCACTAAAGCTTTTGTTTTGTATCTTGGAATTAGTTCTATTTAATCCCAAACTAAATTTGCAGCCTGGGATTCTCAGTTTCAGAGATAACCAAGGGAAACCATGCAGCGTTTTGCATAGGGCATAGTATGGTTTTATGTTTCTTTAATTCTTCCTTCAATGAGTTGAGATCAAACTCTTAAATCAAAAATGATCAAGCTGATATAAAAAAGTAACTAAATCAGTCATTTATATTACAGAGATGGTACAACTCTTTTCAAACATAACTGTTCCAATTCCTTTCAAAGCATCAGATACTTACTCAGGAGTATATACCATAACTTTTTCTCTCTGAGACCTTAATATTTCTGGCTGGCAAGGCTGCCATCCCACAGGACTTTGCTTTTGCCCGTTACCTTGTCTTGTCTGTCCAAAGCACACCCCTCTTGAATCAGGGTTGCTATGACATCGGTGTTCCCTACCACAGCAGCCCGGTGCAACGCTGTCTGATCGCCCTGCAAAAAGAAGCAAATCTGTAATTGGTACCGTTCCCACCTCATTTTGACCCAATATAAGTGTGTACCACAAACATGAGGCTGCATCTTCACCACGCGCGCTGTTAAACCCAAGCTGCCTTTGAAAGCAGTCCCCATAAACGACTATCGTTAACGTTTCCGAGATTAATTAAGTTATTGAGAGTATCAGAGAACTACAAACCATTTACAGAGGTTTGCAAGTCATCACAATCCCATATTCAGCACTGAAGTGTTCTAAAAATCTGGTAGTACTAGAAGGCAGTGAATCTGACCCGTTTGGCACTACGTGGCTAATAATCAACAGTATCTGTAGGGAACTAAAGGGAATTACAGGCTGTCGTAATTCATCATAATGATCCTCCAGTACTTATACTAACTGGATGAGGCTCTTCTGTTTTGGCTCTGATTGCTCCATCAGCCCTGCTTAGGATAAGGAGCATGAGATGAGATCAGCCTCTTCAGCACCTCTGATGAATGTACCAATTAGTGCTAAGAGTGGAGGCAATCTTATGACGAGGACCGCAACCGCAAGACCATCAACTGATTTCAGTCAAGCAACTGAGCGACCATGAGGTCCAAACGATTTCCATTTCTCATTGACCTGCCACCTAGCAGCAACCAGCAAGTTTCTTACATCAGTTTATTTCCTTTATGGCCAAGTTTCCAAAAGAAACGATGCTGATGTGGTCGTGATGTCTAACTGCCCGTTTATCGCCCCTCCAACAACTGTTGAACTCATTTGCTGAGCTAGAAAGCCCAAGATTAATTTCCTACAAACCTTCCAGAACATGAAGACCTGGTAGATGCAAACTACTGGCCCTGCCCATCTATATGTTTTTACGGCGTGTAGGGATGTAAGACACCAACCGATGGGAAAAGGAGCTGCAGTAGCTCCACTGTTGCCACAAAACTGGTCTTGGCTTTCCTTTGAAGTCACTTTGAACCTGCAACGCTGAAGCACAGCCTGGTTCCAGGCACAAAGACTTGCTTCAAAGCTGCACACAGCCTTTTTTGGGGAGGGAAGATGAATAAACAGAGTGGGAATCCAATCCACTGCTGCTTATCCAGATAACAGTCACCAAAAACACATGGAGGGCAAAGATATGCGGTGTATCCTGAGGGAAAAAAAAGCTTGCAGGCAGCTAGTCTTAGATAGAAAACTTCTCTGCTAAAAGTCTGTATCAGATAATACCACATCATATTAAATACTAAAACTAGAGGAATTTCTGTATTTCCTGTCCTACAGTCTACAAGTCTTTAGATAACTGGACAATTTGAATAATTTGTTCTCAAAGGCAATTAGCAGCTGACTTAAAAATTGCTCTTGGTGGGGTTCTTTTACGCTAATGACACCAGAATAGTTATTAATCCATAGGGGAAAAATGAGCATTGGCAAACAGAACCTTTCAGTAACCCCTCTAGTGCCAATTCCCACCACCAGTGAATCACTAAATTGGCTTATAATCATGAAGCTGGTTTTAAAAAAATTGTGCTGAAGGCTTTTTTTAAAATTTGCTATCCGCGTTTTACCTCTAGAGGTTCCACACTCTTACTTTTGTTCTTGCCCCTGCTAACACTGGAAATGTATTTTAAGAGATTTGGAACAAAGACAGGAATGGTTCCAGGAACTGGGGCTTTCAGAAAAACACAAAGTGTTGGAAAACAAGACAGCACTGCAAGTTCTCTGAACTTGTGTATTCATTCCAAATTTAAAGATAACCAAAATGTTACAGAAAATGTCCAAATTATACCATTCCATGAGTGCAAGTGTCTGATAGTTTCCAGTAACCATTACTTCAGAGAAAACTGCTCACTGACAAGCTGGGGAAGAACTTAACACCCTTTTGTGGTAACACATGGTTCTGATGACTGGCACAGCTCCTGCTACTGCAGCCATGGCTTATGTGGACAATGCAAAGGTCATTTTATCTAACTACCACGAAGCGGAAAGTAATCCATCAACCCATCCCTGCCAACTGGTATTGCTGCACCAGCAAAACTAAAGAAAATATTATAATAAAGACTAAAAAAGATGACATCTGCCATTGCAGCGCGTGGAGCTTGAACAACAAATGGTTGGTTCCTATTTCTTTGCAGTCCAGAAAACTGATCGTAGAAAAGACCAAACTGGGGGCAGGGATGGGTTGTATTGGGTTAAGTCTGCAATTAAGGATCTTCTCATTGGGCCAGTTTGAATCAAGGTTGTTCTTGTCATTAGCCCAACCTCATCACAGTAATTGCAGTGAGGTCAAAGGCCATTCAGCCTTTTGGGGTTTGTCAATATGACAGCTACTTCTAATGGCTTCTCAGTTAAATTTAAAACCCCCACATCTGGAAAACAGGATGCACACCCCACTGCTGCAGGAGCAGGTCTCCCTTGGGGTCCCAGGGACCATTCAGTGGGGCTGCAGAGTGGCCCAGGGACAGCTTCAGCCATGCCTAGGCTTTGTCCCATGCTATACTGTGGTCCCTCAAATGGAAGTCCAGGTAGGTGAAGGGACACAAGTCCTGCAGATGGCAGGCTCAGGTGCCTCCTGCCCAAGGTATGGGCTTTGGTGCTGACATCTTCCCTACACAAGCAAAGGGGAGCCAAGCATCTAAGAGTAAAGTCCAACCAGCACCCTGACCAGGTAAATAAATACTTCATCCATGTAACGGGGAGTGTCAAAGGATATCTCAAACCCTGCCTCACCTGGACTGAGGCACCTCCCAGTGAAGAGGTGGCTGGTATCAATGTCCTGGTGAAGGTCCCTACCATCCTCAGGCCCCTCAGGCAGCAGGGCAGGACCTGGTTGACCATTCCCACGGACCTCAGCACACACATTAACCTTAAAGTGCTTAAGGTGCTATGGAAGCTGAACCACCAGGTTGCGATGGCCTCTGCGTGCGAGTCATTGAGCAGCCCAGCCACAGATGGCACAACCCACCTCAAAATAACACTGCCCACACCACTGCGTTTCTAACTGGTCTTCTCTCCCCATCAGCAGAGGAGCAAACCCCTATCTTGCCTCTTATGGAGTCAGAGAAAACAGATGAGTTATATTTTTTTCACAGCACGAATTTTCAGACAGTGTAATCACTGACTCATGTGGCTTTTTATTAATTGCTAAAATAACTGTCTCTGAAAGCACTCATCGAAGTTCTGCCTTTACCCAGGCATTAGGGGGCTGTTCCAGAGGCTCAGAGTGCAATTACACCAGTGAATGCGTATTAACTGCCCAGACTATTATGTTGGGTACAATTTATGATCCTATTTGTAAGTGATTTATGCCTTAGGAACAGACCGCAGATCAGGAGCAATGAAGAGAGATAACTCCAGTGCTGTGTCACGCAAATGTGACCTTGAAAGAAACAACAGAGTCCGCCTAAATAGAGACGTGGGCCCAAAGCCAAAAAGACACTTAGGTGCTTACACCAGGCTTGGTAAAAGTAAGGCATTTAAGCCCACAATGGCGTGTCTTAAATCCCCTTCCTCAGCTGCTGCCTAGCCCTGAAAACAACTCAAACTTGGTTCTTTCCACTTCAATGCCCCAGACAGAGAGTCACAGAATCATTTTGGTTGGAAGACACCCTTTGGAAGACACCCTTCAGATCATCAAATCCAACCTTTCACCTAGCACTGCCAAGTCCACCACTAAACCATGTTCCTCAACAGTACATCTACATGCCTTTTAAACACCTCCAAGGCTGGTGACTCAACTCCTTCTCTGGGTAGCCTGTTCCAACACTTGACAACCCTTTCTGTGAAGATCTCGGCTTGCACCCTGCCATGCGGCGCTGCAGTCATGGTGGCACCAAGGAGGTCATTGTGTAGCACACACCCAGCACTGCCACAGCCCCTAACACAGCCGTTTCCCCTCCTCTCACACACTTGCTGGAAGAAGCTCCACACAAGTTGCAGGTAGACCCACCACCCTTTGAAACGAGGCCAGTGAAGGAGGTGGCCACTGGGGCTATTGCACAGCAAGGCCCAGCACCAGCAGGTACCTTTCCATGCTCTTTACAGAGAGCTTAAACACCTCCTTTCAGGAGAGGATTACAGACTGAGCGTCCTGAAGAAAGGCAGATATATAAATCTTGACCTTCTCCATGGATTTTTGGCATTATGTCTTTTCCTTTAGCAGTTCTGTGTTGGCTGGGCTGGTGGCACTTGCTCAGTGTCCTGGTGTTTGCAAATACCTTGAGTTTCTTCATTTGCTGACTAACTTAAAGCAGTGGAGATGCAACCACCATGAGCAGGCACATAGGAACTGGTTAGGCATCTATTTTACATCTGAAGTTCCCCCCAAGGGAAAGGAAACAACACAAGCAACTTACAAAATGGTTTCACGTAGGTATTAGTACTTCTGCCAGCTCTCCTGGGGTATCAGAGTCTCTATTATAGACTCTACTACCCAAATTTAACAAGATTTGATTTACCCTAGTTTGTAATACATGTTACTTTTTCCTTTCTCTGATTTTTAAAAAAATATTGTAACCACCATATTTTGTTTTCCTGCACAAACACTGTGCCCTACTGTTTCTCAATGTCAATGTGCTGCTTTCCTCCCCCTTTGCTAAAGAAAGGCAGTCATCATGATACACAGCAAGAACAATTTCATAAACGATGATGCATGACCAGCAGAAACAAGCAAAGCCTGAAAAAATAAACATGAGGGAAACAAATTACAGCTTCAATGAGACTGAGACGGGAGTACAGGAATAAGCCACTTAGCATATTTACATCGGCTAGAAATTATTATGAACCCTGGGTTATTGTTCCAGTAGAAATTAATTTTCTGCTTCTTAAACTGGAGCTTCCAGAAGAGAAGTTTCGGGGCTTGGAGCCTTTGAAATCAACTTGTTTTCCTGGTTAGATTTTCAGGGCACGCACACAGGACAGGAGACGACCCAAGATGACCAAAGAGCAGCCAGGACGAAGCCCACCATGCAGCCATGCAGCGCAAAGAGCTGGGCCAACGCCAGCCCACCAGGCCAAGGCTTGGCAACATGCAGCCACGGGAGACGTCAAGCTCAAGGCAGGGTTGTTGGATGCACAAGGTTTCTAACCTCCTTCTCTCTTTCTGATCTTCTAGGTTCCTTCCTAGCCTTTCTCTTCTGGTTTCTCTTATCTTTTTCGTCCTTGATCTCCTTCACCGGGACAACTTTCTCCTTGACTATTTCTGAGGTGCGTGCTGTATGGATACTCATTGACCATTCAGAGATGGCATTGGGATCCCAGTAAGAGTTCTCAGTATTGGCAGGGAGAAGGAAGGAGTTAGCTCCCGGGGTGGCGTACTCTACAGAGCTGGACTCCACCGGTTGAAATTCATAATAATCCCACTCCAGGCCACTGGAGGTCATTCTTCAACTAATTCTTACGGCTCTTACCGGGTTTTAAAGAATGTATCTGCAGAACATGAAGTGAGCGTTTTAATGTCTCCACAACATTTAGCAACTTTTAAGTTCCTGCTTATCATGTGGCAGATGAAAAGTTAGTTTTGCATTCGTTCATTAGGTAAAGACAGTCAATTCCAAAATAAAACATGTTTAGGTTTCTCTAGTTATTTAGAAAAATAAAATACAGGTCATCTTTTTAGAACCTGGAGATTTTTCTGTGCTATCACAACAATGCCACAGACAAAAATCAACTAAGTAATTTACTTTTCAATTAAATACAATATTCCCCCCACTCTCATGAGCAATTTCATCTCTGAACCTAAATCTATATTCCTGAAAAACAGCAATGAAATGCATATATGTTAATCAACACTTGAAACTAAGATGCCTTCACTGCCAAATAAGCACACAGTAAAAGTGACAGGAGGCATAATCAATAGGTTGCAACTAAAAAAGAGTATGAACATATTCTGTGGGACATAAATAAGGTGGAAAAATGAATTATACAAGGAGAAACCATAAATAGAGAACCTTCTTTGAAGACCTACGTAAAAGGAAAGCAGAAATATTGCAGTTAATACCTTTCACAAGCAAAAATCTTCACTTGGAATTTTAGCCTGCCTTCCTCCTCTGAGACAAATCCAAACACACCCTCTAAGACTCAGCAACTCCTGAGGTTCTCTCCTCGACCCTAACCAAATTCCTAGTACTAAACACAGAGCTAAAATCAAAATACATTTTAAAGAACCAGCATCTGTGAATCTGAATTCTGCACAGATTAGTCACCACATTTAGAAGCGGTATCTGGTTATCATGAACAAAGCCCTCGTGAAGCTTGCAAGGCAAGTGAAATAGGTCTTCTACAAGCTGAATATTGCTACAGTGCAAGAGTCTTTGCCAAACTGAAATGATGCTAAACACTGATTTACTGATTTCTATTATGGCTATCATGTTTACATATAATCAGCCTAGATTTTATTCCTAGAGAATTAAAAAAAAAACCCAGACTTACTCAAAAATCAGTTTTCACAGATACCCAACTTGAGCAAATCACTGGAAGCTTTTGAATTCTTAGAGCAGCAACTTGCTTTTCTCAGGAAAACTCACTGTACTCGTCAAGTACCTGCAATTTTGTCTTAAATACCGGATGAATCATTTTTGCTGGGAGAAGTCAAAAAACACACTCAGGATACATCTGAATAAACTGATCCTACCATTACACTTGCAAATCTGCTCCGTTTCACAGATGGGCACAGGGGAAGAATAAAGGGCGCGGGAAGCAAAGCTTCTTCCTAGAAAAACAAGTTTTCCAGTAGAAAGCTGGCTGCACCGGTACCCCGGCGCTGAGCTTGTCAGACAGACTGCTCACCTCTCACAGGGAAGCAGCTACTCACACGCAGAAGGAAACCAGTTTTCCAATTTCTATAGATATTTATGACTCTCTAGATGCAAACAAATGCCTACAGGGATTTTCAAAAGGCACCCAGACATTTCCAGTGTCCTTTTAATAGTCGTACAGGTGCCTCTACTAACAACCTTCGGACCTCTAGGTCCTTTGAAGAATCTTACCTGTATTTATTACAGGGGGAGCAAAAGCTTAGGGTTCCTCAAGGGTTCCTCAAACCTGTTCCACCACGCCATCAGAAGTTAGCAACAAATCTGTAGCAGTCCTGGTTATTCTACTGCTGTTGCACATTTCAGCCTACACCTTTGTTCATCAGAGTGAGGTAACTAAAACCATGTTACCGCTCACTCCAATGTGCCTTAAAGCCTGGTCCAAGATTAGACTTGTTCTTATGGAAACTTGAGAAATTCCAGTAACTTACATGTTTTACTAAAGGAAACCAACAAACTACCATTTTCAAAATTCAAAGCTGGTTTGGTCGTGCTGATGCTTCACTACACAAGAGGCTCACAGATGCCACCACCCCCACATCACACATGGCTGCCAAGATGGGGACTTCCCTGCGATGCCACACAGCACTCCAGGCAACTGCTCAGTGCTCAATACGCTGAGTCTAACACAAAAAGCATCACCCATCTCAGGCAAACATCACAACGTCCCCTACCTGACATCCTCCAGGGGGTTCCCACGGAGTACAACAAACTCTTTAATTTAATTTCCTCACCAAGTGGCAGACAACAACTCTCACTGCTACTCACACCTGCCTGGTGCAACCAGAGCCTTTATAAAGCTCTGCAGCTGGAGCAAGAGGACCAAGCTATTCATTGAAAACCAACACATTTTACATTGTCTCCCATGCAGTTTTGCATCTCCAAATTAGAGGTTACATCTCCAAATTAGAAAATAGAGAGACGTATTTTGTTTTCATTTAATCCTACTTCAAAGAAGTAAAGGTCTACTGTTATTTCCAAATTACCTTTTCCCCTCCACCCCAAGCAAGAAGGTTGTATCTACTTACATCATCCTGAATATCCAGGTCACAACCTGCCTTCAACAAAACCTGGACAACGTGGAGATGACCCTTGTGGGCAGCAAGATGCAGGGGGGTCCGGCCATGCTATGGATGAGAAGAAAACAATAACACTGTAAGATTAATTTCTATGCATGGTAGATGACCAGAATTTTATCTGCTTTTCCTTGTTCTTCTGTTCATACCTTGCTCCCTGAAATCTGCAATAGCAGCAACTGACATACATTAGTGCACCAAAGGCTTTACCTTAGTTTTGCTTATGCTGAAAACTCCTCCCTCCCCCTCCTGCAGCATTTCAGTTTATCCCAATGATACCCTACAAAAGGGGTATTCTATTTCCATAAGGATACTTCCTTACAAATTAGGATTTGCTTTATGTCCATGCCTAAAGAGAATTCATGAGCCTTTTGTTTCTGTTCCTCTGGAGCCCAGAATTGTCAACTGCTTTCAACTTCACTCTGTAGGACAACTTGCAATAACGGGCTAATTAAGGTATTGTAATGAGTACCATCTTTGTGATAGAAATGAGAATTACTCCACTGTTGTGTACGACAGACACTCCCCCTAAAAGCAATGAAAGACCTGTAGTCACTCCCAGTGACTTCACGTGTACAACAACCAACCTCATTTTGCCAAAGATGTCACGGTTTTTTAGACAATAATTATTTTAGGCAACAATTATTTTTAAACATTACCAAACTCTAACCCACATGAAAGTTAAGTGTATAAAATAGTCATGAGAAATTCAATCTCTAGTGTAATCAAGGACGATTACCTAATAAACAGAAAGACAGAAAAGCTCTAATAAGTGAGGTGTATACATGATGTATGTTTTTTTAGGAGGAAAAAAATCCCAAAGATTGAAATTTGAAATAAATTAAAAAGAAAAAAGCATTTCCTCAACCAGTTCCAAAAATCAAAGTGAAATGACAAGAGGAAAACAATATTTACTGTAACTGACCCCCGTTTGAGCATTCTTTAACAGAATTTAAAATGCAACATTTGAGGAAGAGAGGAATAGGCTCCTTCTCCTAAAAGAGATGTAAGAATCAATGTGAAGAGTCTTAAAGAGAGAAGAGATTGTAAGAGGCAGTCGGGACAACAGAGAGCTATAACAAGTGATTCCCTAAACATTTAACCCATACAACCCGAAAAGAAAACTAAGAAGGGAAAAATAAAGAATTTGATTTTTCTAGGAAGCGCTTGTGTGTGTATATATATATTTCTTCATTACCACTGCTATTATCTGTTTTTCCACCCAGTGATTTACCCTGCAAAGGAAGATAAATGGCCCGAATATGTCACCTACAGAAGGAGCAAACCCCTCAAGAGCTGTCTGACTCCTAGTGCCCTGAAGTAAGCAGAAGGTAAGCATCATCTCTCTGAGGTTTTAAGCAACTTCTCCAGCAGGAAAGGACATAAAAAAACCAAGCTCAAGACAGGATTGTTTTCACACAGCAAATCCCATACGCACGTAGCTGGTACAGCCTCAGGAATTCAGCCTCTTCAGAGCAAAATGGAAAACCAGTTGAAATCCAGAGAATGGCTGGGGTCAAAATGCCATGTCATTAATGACTTGTCATTAATGCTTCAAAAATGTTAGAAGTTGATTAATTGTCCTACATTATCAATCTGAAGGACCAGGCCTAAGGGAAAAGTCCTTACCCACTCTGACACGCGGGTGCCTCAAAACCCAAATGTTGTCTCCTGTTAGTGGCAGCAACTCGTTCCCTCATGGGAAACTTCCATTCCCACCCTGCTAAAGGCATGGGAAGGGTTTGATTTTGGCTGTCACCACTGTCCCTGGTCACCATCCAGCCTGCTGCCTGGGTGCTTCACACTCGACCTGGCCACTGGTCCCTATGGCGAAGGGCACCAACCACACTGCCTTCTCCATCAGCCTGGAGGAGAGCCAGGGTTATGTGGAGCAGGAGCAGGAGGTATAAAAGTCTCCAGGCAACATGGGGGGGGGGGGGGGGGAGGG